AGATAGAAGAGTGATACTTAGTTTGTATAAAGAGCAACAGGCAGTTATAGAGATGGGGCTGCAACGTAGAGAAGTAAATATTAGGAAGGGAGTCAGACAGGGATGCACACTGTCACCGCTACTTTTTAATCTATACATCGAAGACGAGATCAACATCATTAAAGACAGCACAACTGTAGGGATAGATATACAGGGGCAAAAGATTATTATGCTTAGATTTGCAGATGATATAGTAGTATTAGCATCTAACAAGGAGGAGTTAGAGATAGCTTTAAATAAAATGGAAGCAGTATTGACAAAACCGTACTGTATGAAAATAAATAAAAGTAAAACAAAATTACTGGTATGGAAGGGAAAAAAAGTAGGGAAAGAGTGAATATAAAGATAGGAGACGAAAAATCAGAAGAAATTAGCGATTTTAGATATCTAGTAAGTGAGATAAGTCAGGACGGATGGGCTAGTAGAGATATAAAGCAGAAGATAGGGCAGGGTCGAGTCGCCTTCATTCAAAAGAAGTCACTTCTATGCTCGCGAACGATTAATATAGAAATTCGAAAAAGGTTGTTAAAAGTGATGTTTGGAGCACGGCGCTGTACGGGTGTGAAACGTGGACAGTAGGCGCGGTGAAAATGAATAGGTTATAAGCGTTCGAAATGTGGTGTTACAGGTGAATGATGAAGACACCGTGGATAGAGAAGATTAGAAATGAAGAGTATTAGGAATAATAGGAGAACAGTCGACTTTATGGAAGTAAATAAGAAATAGGCGAGATAGGTTGGTATACCTTCTCAGGCATGAAGGTCTAGTTAAAGGCAGAAACGGAAGTTACCAGAAGTAGACCTAGATTAGATTACCGTTAGCAAATAGGATATGAGTTGGTCTAGTTTTAGGGAAATGCGAAGATTAGCTCAGGATAGAAAAGATTGGAGATGCGTGTCCAACCAGACTGACGATCTTATGATGATGACGATGATGATTGTGTCTTCACTTTCTGGTAATTATCGATTTCTTTTCTCTTTTGGCATTTTATATTCAAAAATGCAGTTAAATATTGATAATTGCAGATAATAATACTAAATTATTTTNAACTTTTAACCATGTCTATCGAAACACCACTTATTGAGAGATTCGAGTGTCTCGTTCAGAGATTCCAGTCCCTCGTTGAGAGCCTGGATACGAAATGAGGATCTCTCTATGAGCGACTCGAGTCTCTCGTTCATAGACGCTAAACAGCTTTTTTGACAGTCTCTCGACAGTCTCTCTGAGCGACACCAAAGAGGCTCGATGAGAGACGGAGACTCGAGTCTCGCTTTCAGAGACTCTGAGAGACCGAACATTTTTATCTCGGGTTCACATCCCTACTACTCCTTCCGTCCTGACTTCCTAGATTTCCTTTCTCCCTATGCTGGGGAAATTCCCCAGGTTTGGCAACGCTGACCCAAAATCGAATGTATTAGTGGGCATCTCTCCTCCTCTTATTTATTTGCTAAGAGAGAAGTAAACAGAAAGATCTGGAGAGGTATATTTGATTAGTCCACCATCTGGTGGATATATCCAACAGGAGTCATTTTAAAAAGCTTCAGAAGCTAACTTGTTAGTAATAACCAATTAGAATTACCATTTCGAATTATTGTGAGAAGATCGTGCGTTTTTACAAAATGCCTTAACCAATATTTATAATTAACGTTTTCGAATAGTGTAAGATTCTTCGTTCCTACCGGGTATCCCGTAACACCATACACCTTGTTCGTAATTATTCCTAATTATTATCCCGTAGGCTATAGGTATAAGTACCATACATCAATTTGATTCTCAGCTTTTTGCTAGAACTAAACTAGAGCACTAAATAATAGTTCATTTTGGTTACGTCTCATGAGCCCGAATTTTAATAGTTTTACTATGGATTTACTGTCATAACACGTAAACTTTATAGGTTACTGTTGATACCGAAGTTGTAATATTTTTACGTTTTGATGTCACATTTAATCTGATAAAAATTTAAACTGGAGGCCCACTTTCAAAAATTGTTTGACTTCATTTAGATCAAAAAATTAAAAACTTACCATTAAATTTCTCCTATCTGCCTTATCTACGGTGATGTCTAATTCCATTCTGCTGATGGGGCCCCAATATGACCGGTGGTAGAGGCCCTCTAGCTTCGTATATGGCTCGTGGAACTTCCGATCTTTCCAAATCGTCTCCTGACAGATCCAAATCCTGGACCATTTGAAGAATTTCTCTTTCTTTCTTCAAATCTTCACCTCTTTCTTCCGCCTGTAATAAAAAAATGGGTTGTTAAGAATCCCAAAAAGTTCAAAATTCAACAACTTCTTGTATTCATTTTATAAATTAATTACTATAATATACCATCTCAATTTTTTTCTGAAGTATTATTTTAAACAAAAAACAACGACATTGAATTTATTTAAATTTCGACAGTATCTAGAGAATCATTAATGTATGGTGACATATGCATGTGTGTTGCAAAAGTTTTTAAATAAATATTTGAATTTGCAAATAATTTTAAGGAGTGCATGTATTACATTAGCAAATGTTTTTCGAATTACTCGCTGCTGTTGAGGTGTGTCAGTCAGTATACTATCCAGCATACGATTACACCTTTCGTGATCTACGAGGGCATACCAAAAACACATTCATCACATCTTCATAAAATTGATTAGTTTGTAGTATTTAATGTGATGATTATCAAAAAGTAATTTTCCCAAAATTTTGAAATATAAAAGTCAAATGGACTTAATCAAATAAATTTTGAAAACTAACGTCATGGGAAACTCCATTGGGGATTGGCGTAGCGAACTTCAGATTGGCCAATGACCCATAGCTTCTTGACCGGTGTTCCTGTCTAATCGAATATGAGAACGCTCTTTCATTCAAGTGCCCTTTTCTCTTATAAATCCCTGTGTCAAAAGGACTTTCATCGGCATCTTGGAGAACCGGATCCTGATCCAAGCCATTCATGCTTTGCGCCAGTTTTTTGCTATTGAGTAACTTGTCCTTATTCTTTTTGCTCTTTCCCTTACTCTCTATGGTGGCGAAATGGGGTGGTGGCATCATATATTCGGAACCTGGAGGCGGAGGATAGTTTGGTGGGATTGCTCCATAAGTGGAAGCTGCTCTTCCATAGATAGGCTCTTCAAGCATTTGTTTGTTTTTTTTCCGATTCTTTGTAACAGTGGCGGGAAGGACTAGTGGAGCCATCGGGACTAGTGGAGGTGCTACTGGACGGCCAGGTATCAAAACTTTCCCTCTCGGTCTGAAATGTAACAAAACCTCAAGTAATACCAACAAATTTGATATCCAAGGCGTTATTTCCGTAACTAAGGATAAAAGATTACCTGTGAGAAAACGTGTTGCCGTAATGTTTGAAGAACTTCGGATTCGGTAACGTCTGTTGGGGATGCGGCATTATATAAAGAGGCTGATGAGGTGGCATAGGTCGATGTGGCTGTTTCATGTGTTTGGGCATGGTACCCGCTAAACTACCTCCTCCACCTCCCGCCCTTCCGTTCATCGTAGGTGCATACATTAAATCTTCCGTTGACTGATATCGTTTCATGTTTTTTGGGTTGCTTTTATTCTTCGACATTTTTTCTTTGATTATGGGAGGTGGTGGCACTGGAACGGGGGCAGTTATTTGTCGAGGTCGTGGCGTTCTGCCTACCGTGGAAGTAGAATAAGCTTCATATATACCACCGCCTCCTCCTCCATCTAGATTGTCCTGTGAACCCGCCCAAACCTGGCAAAGAAGAATACATTAATTCAAAATCTGAGAATTGAAGAATTGGAAGTTTGTCATCGCATCTATGGGTTTAGAGTTTGAATATTTAAGTAAGGATTATATTCTAACCTTATGATTTTCATCACCATTGTAGATACTGATATCGTCTTTGCCGACGGCATCGATGGTCATGGTGGATCCACTTACACTTCTCGCTGGAGTGGACGACGTTGCAACCCTCCACTCTTCCAATCGCGAAGTGGGTTCTCCTACGTTTGACGATGGTCCCAAGGTTCCATAAATCGACGATCCACTCTGAGGACTGGTCACCACCAATTGTTCGCCTTGTTTGGCATATGAAGAATCTGCATAGGCGTGAAAACAGCACCTGACCAACGCATTCGCCGCTGCTTCTCGTCGACATATAAATGCGTGACACTCTAGGACTTTAATGCCTTGAGTGCGTCGAAGAATTGCCGCGAACAGAGGCGGATGGACTGACGATGGCGCTCGAGCAAACGGAGAGTCTAAGGGTAGGAAGCGTGGACTAGCTGTGGATGATGGTAGAGGGCTGCTACTGTTCTTTTCTGGCACTAACACATATCTGAAATGAAGAAGAAGAATTTGTAAGGTATGAATGTGAGCCAGTGAAGTTAGGCACTACAGATTGACATTAAAGATCGGCCAAATACAGTTACATACGATCACGTAGGATTGATTACTCTGTGTTAGCGGACGTGTGCTCTATGGTTACCTATCTATTATAGCATATTCATAAGCCGCTACTGTGTTCTGGTATAAAATTGTAGAAGCGCTTTGTGGTAAAGCGATTAACTGTTGAAATGAAAATTTAAGAGAAACAACGGAAGTAGTAATTCCTTTATACTGCATTGCAATGAACTTAACCGTGGGTTTAAAATTTATTGTCAATTAAATAATTCGTTACGCATTCTTAAACGAAGTATACGTAGAATAACCTAGACCTTCCTAAAAATGGGTAACTCCGATGACAGCGTTTATAAACTAACTTGCTATTTTCACAGTCTAAAAGGTTAGAGGCTTTTTAGAGAGCTTCCTGTACCTCTTCGGCTGGCATCATTCTCGATATATGTGAAACAATAGTTAGCTTATGTTATTTTTTAAGAGAGATTGCGCTTACGTGATCGACATAACACGGACGAACTAATTCTCAATAATGTTACTATATTACATAAATAAATAACGTTTGGAGAATGCTCATGGGTCAACCCATGGGTGCTCTAAAACTTCATAGTATACTACGCATCATCTTCTTATGTGATGCAATTATTTAAATTTTGATACGCTTAAGAAAGGAAACTTTTGGAATGCTAGTGGACAGGGTGTCGACCAGATCGCCAGAGGGTAGGGCGGAAAGCGCTTTTTAGCATCGTTTTAGGAATAGCGGGCATGGGTAGGTAATCGTTGAAGTAAGAATGATGAGACGGACAATATGAAGACATAAGGTGCTGACGAACTTCAGAAAAGCATGAACCAGGGCAGACTGATCCAGAATCGAGCCCGTGTCCTCCCAAATGCTGAGCAACGGTCTAAACCTCCAGACCATGTCGCTCATACGTCTCATAAATAAATGGTTTTGAAATGTTTGTGTTGTACACATACCTATTAATATATAGGTTAAAAAAGTTAAAGAGTTTGAAGGTTACTATTGCTAAAAACCAGGAAAGTAGCATAATACTGTACCTTTGCACTTTAAGGTTAGAATATTTCCAACTTCTGAATATCTAGAGCGGAATGGGGGGCCGAATTTTAATGAAATGATTAAAATTCTTGGAAACCAATTGTTTACTATAGAGTATAGGTAATATAGAAGGACATAATATTTAATTTTCGTTTGATTTCAAAATTTCTACTTGTTAAAATAGTGGCCCTCTCTTTTCTGAGCTCCATCTGAACTAACGTTTTCCAACTGTACACTAAGAATACAGTATGGCTTTCAATTCATGCATCTGAAGGATTGAGTCATTTTAAACTACCATTGCCAGAAAATGATCAAAGTGTGCAGTTAAATCTAGGAGACTAAATTCATACAAAATTTTTCTATCAACCAGAAGGGGCTGTGCTTTCTCACAGTACTCTTATTTTAAATTTGTAACTTCCATGAAGATCTAAATTTTAAATTTGTAACCTCTACGATAATCTCAATATTAACTGTAGGTAATTTGTACTGCCACATTGTGAGAAAACTCTTTAAAATATAGCATACTGCAGCGAGCACGAGCGTGTTTGTGTGCGATCGGACACACGTGTGCGTGAACGGCTTATCGATTCGCCGACTAGCTGCGGGCGCCTTTCTTCATGTGCGCCGTATTTGTAAATGTGTGTGTCGTACCTGCGTTCTGGGAAAGCAGTTAAACAGTTCAAAAAATTAAAATAAACGATCCGGATGTTTCTAGAGGGTTCCAGAAAGTAACGAAAGAGTATTTAAAGAAAGAGACGATCGCCGAGAGTAGGAGAAATAAATTGACAGTGATAGCAGTGAAATCAATAGCGCAGTGAATAGTGATATATCAACAGTAGAGTAAATAAATAGAATAATTCATAACCTAAGTTTGGTAATAATTTAATAGTGTTTTTAAGTTTTTTAATAATTAGTGTAAAATAGTTTTTCTCGTTATCAGTCTAAGAAGTTAATTTTGTTAAACCCACGAACATTACAATACGTTATTTAGAACAATTGTCGAGTTTTGTTGATGATAGGTACGTGCCAAGTATGTTTCGCATTTTTATGCGTTTGCTTAATAAAACATGCCCCCCCACAATTGTGTACCGTGGATATCATCCAAGATATTTACCGGAAACTATTATTGAATACCATCGTTCAATCACACCTAAAATCTTTCCTTCGTTGGGTATAACATGCTACTAAACAAGAACTTGTTTTCACTCTTGATGTGATTGCCAACGTAGTTATGAGTTGGAAGGAATTAAAAAACAAAAATGAAAAAGAAATGATACCTACAATTTATTCTTTGTAATCGCCAGGGCGCAAAATGCAACTTCGTAACGTGCATGTAATACTAGTAGGTTATCTCCAGGATATCCACTATTATCATCAACATCATCATGCTATACACCATACAATGTACTTGCTGACATGCAAATGTTGCGTACTTATTACCAAGACGCTCTTTGTTTCTTATTCGCTGATGCAAGAAAAACAAGGCTACTGGATGAAAATGTTCTTCGATTTAGAATTGTGTAAAACAATGTAATCAAACAAAAAAAAAGAAAAGAGTACTTTGAAGACTTATAAAAAAAGGTAATTCAAAAAAGTGGAAGTTCTAGTCCCATAATTTTAAAATACTTTAATGAGTTAGAACCTAGAGTAACACTGTTGTAAAAGGACATGATTAAATTATAAA